TTTAGCAAAAAATAAAATCCCCAGTGGTGATTAAATACCACCAAAAGAAAGCTCTATCTGTCACAAAAATGATAACAATTTTGTTTGGGTAAAGTGTTGCATGAGCGCGCAATTGTCATTCAAAGTGTGACAGCGCTGAAAGCTGAAAATTGTCCTGGGCAGGAAGGGAGTAAAAGTGCCTGGTAGTCTAGTGGTTAAAGGCCTCATTACTTTTTCTTTAAAACAGTAGAATGATGGGCTTTACTAAAAAGCTGTAATTTTGTTTCGTCTGTCCACAGCTCATTTCTCCCAAAATTATTTTAGCTTTATCAGGTAAGTTTTGGCAAACTCCAATCTGGCTTTTTTATGTTTCTGTGTCAGCAGTGGGGTCCTCCTGGGTCTCCTACCATAGCATCCCTTTTCATTCAGAATGCGAGCTGACACAGTTGTACCCTGTGCTTGAACGTCAGCTTGAATTTGTCTGAAAGTTAAATGAGGTTCGTTATCAACAATACGAACAATCCTTCGTTGCAATCTATGATCAAGTTTTTCTCTTTCGTCCACATCCAGGGAGATTAGCTACAGTGCCATGAGCTGTAAACTTCTTGACAATGTTGCGCACAGTGGGGGACAGGAAACATTAATAATCTGTTAGTTGATACAGGTGAGTTTAAGTACAAATTACAGGAGCATCACAAACGTGGAATGCAATTATTTCTTACAATTGTGAGAAGGTGCCAATAATTTTGTCCAGTCTATTTTTGGGGTTTTGTGTGGAATGTGTCAGATTTGGCTTTTTGTTTCTCCACTTTTTTTGGGTGTCATACCAATACAAACAAAAGAAATAAACATGAGAATTCCTAAACATCTGTAATTGCAACAATTTTCTGGGCGAAGTGGTGCATTATCTGACAGACTTGCAGGGGTGCCAATATTTTTTGGCCATGAATGTACAATATTCCAAGACATACATTTGTCTGCCCCCATGTATGTATATTTTATGAATTTATACTCAGAAACAAGGTTTAAGGGCCAGGACAGCTTGTCAGGGCAACACATCCAATATCACATGAAGATGGTTTCTTTTTAATGTTTATCCAAAAATACAGAGAAAAACTACATATTCCCATTAATGTGTGAACACCTACTGTGTAATAAATTCTTCATAGAGGGAAGTCAAGCAAAGGTTGTCTAACTGATACAATTTCATTAAAATAATCGTTAAAAAGTGAAATGCCATATTTTCTTTGTCATTGTGACTCCCCCCCCTCGGCCTTGTTATATTGGAATGTGATTTGTGAACTGAATAAGATTAAAGTCCTCTGTTTTACAAAAAGCTATGTTAAGAAAATGATTTTCCCAATGAACAGATCTCTCTCTCGCCTGATTTTAAAATGATAATTACAACTAAATTGACCCAAAGTCAAACCTTATTAGCGGCCCTACAAGCTTCAGGAAATGGCTATGACACTTGAAACTATATATTTTTTTTGTTTAGAGCAGTTTTTAATAAATATGTTATTGGCCCCAATTTGTTATAAAGACCATATAGTAAAATAACCAATCACTTACTTAAAAGCTTTCAAGTGAGTTCAGTTTCACTTTAGAGAGCCCTAGGGAGCGTCTGGAAACTATATGACCCTGCATGTAGACACATTTAGGTGTATAATGTATATGTTGTCATTGTTAGCAAATAGGTACAGCACTAAATATTTTCTATGCTATTGGTTTGATAAAAGTACACTAATGCCAAGGGCAAAAAAAGCTAAATCCATATATAACTGATTAACTGAATCATCTGTTAGATTTTTTGAGCTAGAATAAAAATTGCTGCAATATTTCAAAAGAACAGTTCTTCATTCAGGGACTGTTAACATACTGTATGTTCATTTTTGCATATGTGTTTACCTAATTACCTTTTATTATAAAAAAAAAATGTGTTGTGTGGAGCAAGCAGGCTCTATAGAAATCATGGTCAACCTCCAAATCCAGTGGGACAGAGGTGCTAAAAGATAGGAGGATGTTTCCTTAGCAAATGTTGACTTTGCAAAATGAATAATGGTAAATAAGGTAGACATGTGTTCACTTTGAATACTCAGTCAAATATAATGGAAATTCAAAAACAGGATTTTGTTAGCACTGGTAAACTTATTGAAGCGGACACAACTTCACGTTATTTCCGAAAATCAGTAAACATTCTCTGCTGGTTTTATAGTAAGCAGCATATCAATATATGTTATAAAAAAGCACATTTCCACATAGAAAAAACTAAAGTGATCTTTCTTCCATTTTTCCTATTCAGTCTAGACATTTGCTTTAAAGGCTTATGTCTAAGAGTTATCTGTGGACTAATGTTAATGTCTTTGGTCAGGATAGGGTTGTTTATAATAAACTAAGCGTATTCAATGCCAGAATGTTTTTTTCTTGAGAATTAAAAAGGGCACCCCTCCCTCAAAAGATATCAGCCCAGTAGACAGAAGGTAGAAAAAAAAGTGTATTATTTTGCAACTTACAAGTCCTACATTTTTTGGTTTTGGGTTTCTGTTATTTTAACCCCTTCACGCCTAAGGGTAAAAACAAATCTAAATGCCTAAGCACAATTTTGCAACGTTGACATGTGTTAGTAAAACCGTACATATCATCACAACTACTTTGTACATCCAAGTGAATTATACCTTGTTTTTTTCAGGACAAATTGGGCTTTCATTTGGTGGTAAATGGTAATGGATATCTCCTGATTTTTTTTTATTATCAAAGGACAACTGGCCCAAAATAGTAAAAGAAAATATTTTTTTTAATTTAGCTGTGTGTTTCTTGTTACTACCATAACCTACCATCAAAAAACAACCCAAAATAAATTCTCCAGCTCTTGATGATCGCAGCGATACCATATATGTATATGTTATTTGTTGTTTGTACCCGTAGTACAGCCCAGAAACAATAGTGCACATTCTGGTTTTTTTTTTTTTTTACCTAAAACACACTGACACTAACTGACACTGATACCAATTTTTTTTTTTTTTTAAATCCTGTCCTTTTGACCTTGACCTTGGACCCTGACCTTGACCCAAACATTTACCCTGGCACTGAATTAGATCAAACCTTGATCTAGGTATTTTTTCTTTATTTTTTCTTTTATTTTTTAATATTTATTTATCTTTATTTTTTTATCCACTTGCCTACTGGGCACTTATACCCCCTTCCTGCCGAGGCCAATTTTCAGCTTTCAGTGCTGTTGCACTTTGAATGACAATTGCATGATCATGTAACACTGTACCCATATGAAATTTTTATCATTTTTTTTGAGACAGAGATTTCTTTTGGTGGTATTTAATCACCTCTGGGTTTTTTATTTTTTCCTAAACAAACCAAAAACAACTGAAAATTTTGAAAAAAAAAGTTTTTTCTTAGTTTCTCTTATAAAATTTTGTAAATAAGTGATTTTTCTCCTTCACTTATGTGCAATAATGAGGCTGCAGTGATGGGCACTGATGAGGAGGCACTGGTAGGTGGCACTGATGGGCATTGACAGGCATCACTGATGGGCACTGAAAGGCAGCACTCATATGTCACTGATAGGCGGCACTGTTAGGTGGCACTGACTGGCACTGTTAGGCAGCACTGATGTACACTGATAGGCAGCACTGATAGGTGGCACTGACTGGCAATGATAGGCAGCTCAGATGGGCACTGATGTGACATTGATGTGCACTGGTAGGCACTGATATGTGGCGTTGATGTGGTACTGATGAGCACTGAGAGCTGGCACTGATGGACACTGACAGGTGGCACTGATGGGGCTACACTGATCATCAGGGCACACTGATCAACAGTGCCCTGATCATCAGTGTAAATGTCCCCTCTGAATAATGCCGATTACTGGCTCTCCTCTCCTCACGAGCGGTCAGCATTACAGCTGGTGAAGAGAGGAATGCCAATAACCAGCATTTCCTTATTTACATACGTGATTGGACACAGCTGATCACAAGACAGAGCCGACATCTTCGGCTCTTTCCATTGATTGGAAGGGGACACAGCTCACCACCGATCGCCACGCTGCGCGCCCCAAGGGACACACGCGTGGTTAGAGTGGGAGGACTTCATATGACGTCCTCCCAGAACAAGAGAGCACCGCCTCGTCATTACCTTATATGGTGGGCGGGAGGCGGTTAAACAAAATTTTTTTCCCCTCTATGCCATGAGTTTAGAGATACAATGACTAATCACTGTGATAGCCAATCAGAGGCTATCTCAACGATCATGTGACCCGGAATTGGGATTCCTCAGTCCCAATCATTAGAACGGAACCCGGTGCTTTCAGTGACACCGCGGTCTTTGTGCTGGGAGCGCATAGTGCGGCGCGCTCCCAGCAGAAAAACAGGTACATAAATATGCGGCCCCATGGAAAAATGCCCAGTTATGTGAGGCGGCATATTTGTGCTACGTCGGCGTCAAGGGGTTAATATAAGCCATTATGTCATTTAGTATTGAATAGGTATTTTTTTTTAAAAAGTGGTTAAAAAAATTAGCCCCACATTTGAAACACTGGCCTACTCAATAGACAGTGAGTGGGGGAGATTTACTAAAACTGGAGAGTACAAAATCTGATGCAGTTCTGCATAGAAACCAATCAGCTTCCAGATTTTAAGTTTAATTGTACAAGCTGAGGTTAGAAGTTGATTGCCTGCAATGCACAGCTGCACCCGATTCTGAGTGTACCCATTTTAGTTATTTTTCCCCACTGTTTCCAGTTTATTAAATGTGTACAAATACTGAATCGGTGACAATTTCATACTTGAAAAATTGTGAAAATGTACATCAAATGTTAATTCTAATCTAAGTTTAATCGAGTGTATACAAGCAAGAATAAAAAAAAATCAGCTTTATTTGATTAATAAAGGTGAAGGGAAAAGTGTGCTTCTATTCAGATATGAAAAGTCAGGGACATTGTTAGGGGTTCTTAATAAAAGGCAGGAAAGCTGTTTTATAATTGCATGTTAACAAAAGACGGCATTTGACTTTTAGGATTTGTGGTATAGGCAGGTACTGCAGTGACAAGCTGTATGGTTTTCAATCTTCACGGTGTCCGTTAATGCAACCTGAAAAAGAAATATACAAAATAACAAAACCAGAAAAAACTGGAGGTTTTAGCTCAAGGTGTTTAACACAATTTTAAGAAAGCTTCACACTTGGCAACCAATGAGATGTTGCCGTTGATATATGAAAATATGGGGCCGATAGACATAACCTTTTTTTTTAGTTTTAGAAAGAGCAGGTATTGTTTAGAACCCTAATTCCCATTGCGAAGACTTATCTCTCAGAGACGTAGGTGTGGGTAGACGTAGAGATCATTTATCTCATTTCAGTTCTCTGGGAAAAATCTTTTCCTCTGTCCCCCTGTTTATGAAGCTGAGAACATTTGTTCTTAAAAGAAGAGTGGAGACGTTTTTCCTCTGAGAACAGCTGAGAAGGGAGAGGGCTGCATGTGATCTCCTGAGATAATTGTGTGATTACAGATCACCTGAGTTTAAACAGTGAAACCAAAGTTAAAAAGACCAATACAGGAAAATAAGAAGCACTGAGCACTGGTACTTTTTAACGCACATTTTGGCACATTATTTAAATGTGTATTTTGGCTCCTTTTTATTGTGCATTTTGCTGCTTTTTAACATACTGTATTTTTTTAACACACATTTTTGCGTGGGATTTTTTAATGTGCATTTTGGCACTTTTCTAAACATACATTTAGGCGATTTAACGTACATTTTTGCACAGGTTATTTTAACATACATTTTCCTGTGGTTTGTAACGCACATTTTGGCACTTTTCTTAGCACGTATTTTGGCACTTTTTTAAAGTGCATTTTGATTTGGTTTTTATGCATATTTTGGCAAACTGCACATCTGCTAGCCACTTTTGGGTGCTATTAACAAATAATGGCCTCGCAAACAAGACATACATTTAGCATGCGTTTCCAGAACACACACAGAAATGCAGGTAAAAAATTAGCCAAATTCATGTTAAAAAAAGAAATTTTAACCACTAGCCTACAGGGCACTTATACCCCCTTCCTGCCCAGGCTGAGTTTAAGCTTTCAGAGCTGTCACACTTTGAATGACAATTGCGCGGTCATGCAACACTGTACCCATATGACATTTTTATCATTTTTTTGTGACAGAGCTTTTTTTTGGTGGCATTTAATCACCTCTGAGTTTTTTATTTTTTCGTAAACAAACCAAAAACCTCTGAAAATTTTGAAAAAAAAAATTTTTTTTCTTAGTTTTTGTTATAAAATTTTGTAAATAAGTGATTTTTCTCCTTCACTGATGTGCGCTAATGAGGTTGCAGTGATGGGAACTGATAGGCTGCACTGATGGACACTGATAGGTGGCACTGATGGGCACTGATGAGGAGGCATTGGTAGGTGGCACTGATGAGGATGCACTGGTAGGTGGCACTGATCGGCATTGACAGGCATCACTGATGGGCACTGATATATGGCACTGATAGGCGGCACTGATAGGTGGTACTGATAGGCGGCACTGGGTGGCACTGACTGGCACTGATAGGCGGCACTCACGGGCACTGATAGGCGGCACTGATGTACACTGATAGGTGGCACTGACTGGCACTGATAGGTGGCACTGATCGGCATTAATAGGAGGCACTGATGGGTGACACTGAAAGGCAGCTCAGATGGGCACTGATATGTGGTATTGATGTGCACTGGTAGGCACTGATATGTGGCATTGATGTGGCACTGGCAGGTGGCATGGATGGGCACTGATGGACACTGACAGGAGGCACTGCTGGGGCTACACTGTTCATCAGGGCACACTGATCATCAGTGCCCTGATGATCAGTGTACATGTCCCCTCCGCGGAATGCCGATTACCGGCTCTCCTCTCCTCACGAGCTGTCAGCATGACAGCTCGTGAGGAGAGAAATACAGATAATCGGCATTTCCCTGTTTACATGCGATCAGCTGCGATTGGATACAGCTGATCACATGACCAAGCTGACATTTTCGGCTCTTTCCGTGGATCTGTGATCTGCTGTGTCCTAGGGACGTAGCGCACCGCTGATCGCCGCGCTGTGCGTTCCCGGAGCAGAGCATGCGCGGTGAGAATGGGAGGACGTCATATGATGTCCTCCCAGAACGAGAGAACCACCTTGCGCCCGTCATTGGACTATATGGCGGGCGGGAGGCGGTTAAAGAGATGGCCAGTGAGGTCTTCAGATCCCACCTTCATAATCTAACCATCTCTGTAAAAGTGAATGACAGAAGGGTGTGTCCTGTGATGAGAAGTGAAGAAAATGTTCTCTGCTCCTCACCTCAGAGTCATAAACTGGCACACCTGAGAGATCAGCTGTGATCATCAGGATCTCGGCTTTACTCTCTTTCATAAACGGACACCATAGCAAGCAACCAGAAATTTCTCAAAGTTAATGGGAAATCCACTCTTAGACAATTATCATCAGTAGAGCTGTCCCCTTTGAGAAACAGTTGTAAAATTCTGGATTTCCCATCACTTTTTTTCTTTCAGTGAGAACAGTCACCAGTAAAAATAGAGAGGGTTGGTCTCCTCCATGGATACCAATAAAACTCATATAGTTTCTTATTTTAAACAAAACAAAATACAACCAAAAAAAATTAGGCTCTGGTTAGGTCATGCTTCTGCTAATGTGACAAGCTACAACAACGAATATTATTCCACAACTTTTCACAGGGATCCACTTCTTTTACTGCTTTTTTGCCACGGGTACATCCTGCTACAACCTTTGGGTGGGGTATATGTATGCACTCCTTGTAATAAAAGGTAGACACCTCAGTTTGAGTTTAAATGTACATGCATCCAATGACTAAAACTGGAGAAAACAAATATATCATAATAATCTTTTAGTTTTTAAGTTTTCAGGTAGCAGGCAAAAAGTGAGAATATAAGCATATTGCCCTACCTTTTTATAGAAATTAGTCCTTAAGCTGTTTCTATAAATTTGACAGCTGTTGCCATCAGCTAATTTTCCTGTAGACATAAATGCTATTGAGTGTTTTAGCAGCTGCACAAATGTTTTGTGGATAGCGTGCCACCCCTTGATAGATATTCACTGTACTTGCTTAGTTTAAATCCCAACATGTACACAATAAGTATGAGGGTGTAATCGGTTCCTGTATTTGTATGGGTTTATAACTGAAAACCATACTGACACATATACTGGTGCCTGATCAAATTGACCCTGAAATGTGAATAATTGTAGTAGGATCATTTGATTGTAAGCTCCTCTGGGTCAGTAAAACACTGTGTATTATATTATAACTATTTTAATGAAAAAAGAGAAAAAAAAATTTCATGGCCATGGGCCCATTTAACAGATTTCATTAAAATTAAGTAGAACAAGAAAATACATGGCAAATCTTGAGATCCAATAAAATGATCACGAAACTTTCTTCTGAAGCAGCTTATTTATTGTGATAAAGTACTTCTTATTTTTAAAAATGAGCAATTCCCTATAGTTCCTTCCACCAGCTCGAGCCATACCTCTTTTGAAAACATTCTCCAATATGTCCATTAATTTCTACATTGAGTTGTATTCCATAACTATTACATTTGGTGATGATTTAGTATTAACAGGAGGACAAATCAAAACAGAAATGTCAAGGCTTTAAATTGCACATGTTATGAAGAATAAAAACTATATCAGTTAAAAAGTAGGTCCTTTTTATCTAAAGATGGAGATCTGAGCACATATTCTCAGGAATCTCAAACAAACCTAGGGCAGGTTTCTATATAAAGTTATTTGGCTGGTGAGTTTGCCAAGAGCTAGATTTTCAAGTTCACCAGATGGATCAGTGAGTTCTCTATTTCATAACTGGAAAAACATCAAAAATTATAAAACTATAGCTTAAAAGTTTTTTTTGACCTGGTTAGAATTGTCAACGGTTTACCTTGGCTGATTAGGAATAAAAAAAGAACAATTCAACCTAAATGTTAATAAAAATAATATTAAAATATTCATAATATGCATCTGTTCTGAGGTACAACCTGATAACTATATTTGTATAAATAGTAAGTTACAGTGTATGGTTACACTGTTTCTATCATTCAAACACGGTATTCATTCTTGAACTGTCAAACTAATCTCAGTCTAAAGATGTGGTTGTCATCTCTGAATCTCTCTAAAACCGAGCTTCTTGTCTTCCCCCCAGCCCGAACCCCACCCCCCATTGACTTCTCCATCACATCCAACAACGCCAATATCAAACCCGCCCTGCAGGCCAGAGTACTTGGTGTCATTCTGGACTCCAACCTATCCTTCCAGCCCCAAGTCCAATCTTTAACAAACTCGTGCAGACTCCACCTCTGCAACATCGCCAAAATACGCACGTTCCTAACCCCAGAAACCACTAAACAGCTCATCCACTCCCTCATCATATCACGACTCGACTACTGCAACTCCCTCCTCACTGGCCTGCCTCGCCGCTGGCTATCCCCGCTTCAGTCGATCCTGAATACGGCTGCCAGACTCATTCACCTTTCCAACCGCTCCGTTTCCGCCACCCCCCTCTGCCAATCCCTCCACTGGCTTCCGATTGCGCAACGGATCAAATTTAAAATCCTAACACTGACGTACAAAGCTGTCCACCATACTGCCCCGAACTACATCACCAACCTAATATCTAAGTACCACCCAACACGCACACTCCGCTCCTCACAAGACCTCCTTCTCTCTAGTTTCCTGGTCTCCTCCTCCCATGCCCGCCTCCAGGACTTCTCCAGGGTGTCACCCATCCTCTGGAACTCCCTTCCCCTACCCATCAGATTATCACCTACTCTCCTCTCCTTTAGGCGCACCCTGAAAACCCATCTCTTCAGGGAAGCCTACCCCACCCCCTGCTAACCTGCCGACCTCCTCCACTCTTCCTACCACTCCATCCCCCAGAGCTATCTCCTCCTGTGCCACCATCCCCTCCCTCCTAGCTTGTAAGCTCGAAAGAGCAGGGCCCTCGATCCCCTCATGTTTTGCATTGTATTGGTATTGTTCTGTCACATGTTCTGTCCCCCTTTGTAATGTACAGCGCTGAGTGAACTATCGGCGCTTTATAAATACTGTATAATAATAATAATAATCACTGCCCTAGTCATTTTCAGATACGGTAATTGTGTACATGGAAGTTGGTGGGAGTTTCTGCAGTAGATATGACTATTCAGGCAACTAAGCATATTTTACTATTAGAATGGTACCATCTAACAACATGGGGTTTATTTACTAAAGTTGGTTCACTCAGAATCTCAACCACTTCTTCAGAGAAACCAGTCGGCTTCCAGGTTTTATTGCCAAAGCTTAATTGAACCAGCTGAGGTTAGAAACTAATTGGCTACCATGTACAGATACATCAGATTCTGACTGAGCCAGCTTTAATAAATAAACCCACATGTGTCCATCCATAACAGTTCATCAATGTTCCCCTGACTTCATCCGTGTACATTAGTCAGTGTCTGTCAATGTCTCTCTGCTTTAATCAATGATATTTAGCTCATCAGTTGTTTTTTGCATGACAAACACATTTTTGCATAGGAGACCTAAATGAACACAGCAAGATATTAGGTAGCTTGCAAAATGTAGGCTCTACTGACACAATATGGACAACTGTATACAAATATATGTATGCGGTACGGCTAGCCTGATGCAACCACAGGTATTTGATCATTAATAATTAAAGCATGCTGGACTTGATAATGACTTGGCTACTATCAATGCCTTTCCATGTCTACACTGTCATGTGAATGTCTACAGCCAGATTGGTCACACATAAGCCCTTTTAACTAGCATTGTACCTGATTAAGGTATCCATAGCAATAATCATCCGGGTATAGTAAGTAGTGCAATTGGCAGAAGGTCTCCAGCATATCCTTATGACTTTGGTTGTGTTTTTCATAGTAAATCAACAACTCTTCAACAATGTTTAAAGCAATTTTTGCAATAAATTTTGGCAAATATCCCAATGAGTGTGGCAGAATGTTTCAAAGATAATTAAATAACAACAATAGATATGACCAGCCCACTACTGCCCCATTTCTTTACCATGGCTGCCTCTGAAAACCTGTGTCAACAGTAGATATGTTCATTATTAGAGCATGGGCATGTATGTGCTTGTTCATGTGCATTCCTATAGGTATAATCATTTTTGTGGATGCATGTAGTGGCTCAGGGATTATTTTAAAGCCAAACACTGTTCATTACTTTGTATTGCTTAGCAATGCCCATCCTTCAGTATGTGGACATCCAGGTGTGCCATCAAAGCTCAAGCCCAGCTAGAACTTTATTTTATTGTTGGCTAGAGTGGAGGAGTGTTAGAACCTTTGTAAAGTTTCTCAGTAGATTTTTTTTATCCCTTGTCAAATCATATTGATGGCTGTCAGCACACTAAGGAGTGAGTAGAAATCTCCCTAATATGGCCAAAAAGAGTGATCAAAACTTTTTTCTAGGACACATTGCCATGTTTTGATTGCTTCTCTTTATCTCCATTGGGAGGCACACAGAAAAACTGGACTTGAACTTTCAGCCTGCATAAGTTAAAAACAAGATCAGCAGCTTCAAGTAAAATATTTTAGTAAATGTGAATTACTCACTCTGTATTGTGTCTTTGCCACACAGCACTTAGCTTCAGAAGTAATGTTCTTTGGCACCAACATTGTCTTCTTTGATCTCATTGGGGTAGGGTACGCCCTAGAAAAGCAGCATCCACTGCACTGAAAAATTCGACCAATTCCCTTGATAGAGAAACGCTGGTTTTCCTTAAGTCTGCATTCAGGGCAACCTGATTTAAAAAAAAATTGATATGCTTGATCGATACATAAAAAAGAGGTTCTGACACTTTCTCAAAAACATATTTTACCTATACTATTATCATATAAAACTAGTCTATTGTGTAGTTCAGCAAAACAATATGGCTTTCTGTGCATATCTGGTTTGCCTGTTTCTTTGAAATCCCTGTGTCCTGCATGCAACACCAGCATCTTTCAGTAAGTTTCAAGCTATAATTTAACACATATGTTGCACCCCGGGGCAAGTTACAGAAAATCAGTCATCTCCCACTGCAATAATGTCATATCATTGGGGTCAGCCTGAGAATTATGCAGTTTGAATTTCACTAATAGTTAGTGAGTTCTGTACATGGCAAAAAGCTTTTTTCAACTGCCAAAGAAAACTTCAATGCTCTCCCTTTACAAAAATATTAGGCACCATAAATATCTTTAACAAATTTACTGATCATCCACTGCATAGAACTCCAGCTCGTCTATTTATGTACTTTTTAAGGTGACCACGCTTTAGGGATTTTTTTAATTATATGACCGCTTCAAATTGTCCTGGCTTTTCTTCAAAGTTAATCCTACAGCTTGGGCCACAATTAAGCTGTAATTCAACTTAAATTGCTAACACAAAATAGTCTTTAGATGCAAACATCCTTACCTGGAGCCAAAAAATTTTCATCAGGAAAGGTATAAAGGACATGCATACAGACTGACAAAAAGACCAGTGCAAGTGCTACACATTTTCCATAACAATCCATAGTGTGTCTGAAACAAAAGATAAGTATTGTCATTATTTGAAATGTTATCACATATTATTGTACGTGGGTGAGGTGTCTTATTCTAATTTGGTGCATTATGTCTGAGATATGTCATACTGCATTAAAAATATCCATTCAAATGTATTGTCTTCTACACAGTTCATATTAGGAAATGTTTGGGATCATGCCTGTGTATATGACAAGCCTGTATTAAAAGACTTTCCCATTTTTTTAGAGTGTTGTTTAACCCATTACGGACACATCATCGGGAATATAACAATCCACATTAATGAATTGGAAATTAGTCAAAATGTACTCAATGTTCTGCTTTTGTACACTGTATAAAGGAATGACACTTACGGGAATTAATTTATAGCTTAAATTAACTGTCAAATAAATGGAACTGCTGTTTGTTAACAATATCTTGCATACAATGATCTCACCCTTTTTACTATGGGTTCTTTGGGGAGCCCTGTTAAATAATACAGAAAATTTGTTAGGAAATACAGAGCCATGGGGCAGAAAATGTGCGTAGGTTTTATATACAGTATATACACGCAGTACACAACTTCTCTTTACTAGACTGCATTAATCATCTTTTGCTTAAATTATTTAGTGATTTATTACAAACATGGCTGAGGTTTATATAAATGTAAAAGCTGTAACAAACCTATCAGTTATTAATATTCTCAAAATCAACCTAGCAGAATTTTGCATGACAAGTATGATTCATATTGTGGCCTGGGTTACACCAGCATGCAACTCCCAGTAAGTCCTCTGAATTACGGGTTCTAGTGAGCTTATTGGCAGTTAGAGGTTTTATTATGGGAATTAATGTATTTTCATTCTTTTTGTCTGTTTTGTGGGGAATTTTATTGGGTGATTCTTCTGGTTTTTTTTGTACGTGTCCTTGATAATTACAATAAGAGTTGTCATATACATAATATTCAGTAGTGCAGTCCATTGTTGTATTAAGGATTGTTTGTTTGTTGGAAGCATTGCTCTCTTTTATGAATGCACACATATTGATGCTGATTCTTTTGGTTTTTATAGCCTACACTGCTGGGAGGTATGTGTTTTTATATATGTAGAATGTATTAGATGTTAAGATCTGACATCTAATAAGGGATTTACTAGCAGTACTACAGCGTCAGCGTACCAATGCTTTCCAGACCATAGCCACAATGTTCAATTGAAACATTTTCAGAAAATGCATGCAATAGATATCTATTTTTCCTGGATTCAATTAGCAGTTACCTGGCAATTGTGTATCAGCATTTGTTGACAGTATACAAATCAAGATGTACAGTATGTGATCAATCACTGTCAAAGTTATGTTGCCGTTATCCAGATTACAAGGAAATCTAAAATACTGATATATCATTCTGCTTATAAATTATAAAGAACGTATACCATATTGGAATTATTATCTCTATACGAATACTTCGATTAGACCATTATAACTTAGTATATAAATCTAGACTCCTTCTTTGATCCTTGATTATTGGTAAACTAGTCCATGCAATCCGTGTCCATTCTATTACATTCAAACTAAAAAAATCCCAGCGCCAATCAAAGAAAGTATACAATTATGCAGCTGTGCACCAGTGAAAACCACCAATAATAAATAACACAAAAAACAGCGCAAAAATTAAAATAAAAATAATCACAAATAAATAAATGTCCGTGCAAAGATATATATATAATATTTCAAACATAAGTTGGGAAAATAAGGACTTATGTTTGAAATATTATATATATATATCTTTGCACGGACATTTATTTATTTGTGATTATTTTTATTTATTTAATTTTTGCGCTGTTTTTTGTGTTATTCATTCTATTACATTGTTTTCCAGCTCTCATGAATATAAATCTAAATCCAATCCATTAACCCCAAAGATATGATTATTTCTTATACATTATCACCAAAATGTTGTGCTCCCAATCTCCAAACTAAATATAAATAACTTCAAATAAAATATCCACACAAAAATATTTCATACATAAAATAATGAATAATGGGATTCATTATTTTATGTATGATATATTTTTGTGTGGATATTTTATTTGAAATTATTTATATTTAGTTTGGAGATTGGGAGCGCAACATTTTGGTGATATGGTTTCTTTTATACACAGAGTATGTGATATATGTTAACGATCCAGAGGAGTTTTTTATTTTAGTGGCTTGCAAATTATACACACATATTACTTATACCCTGCTATATTGTGACAATCTTTCTCTGCATAAATCACTAAAGTTAAAATTTAAAACAAACTTACTACTCATTCACTTAGAAAATTCTAATAATATTCCAAAATATACTTGAATGGGGTGCAAAATATCAATCTTTTTATAGTGTTATAGTTATTACTGTTAAGTGAAAGAAGTGGTGTTTGATTCTTCTTCACCCTGGAGCACACAACTAAAATGCAATGCAAAGTTTCCTTTGCATATTTTTATATCTAATACTATATCAACCAGGTACTGGGTACACTTTACAATAACTGTTGAAGAAAGCAATTCTATATCACATTTCATCTTATACCATAATTCTGAAAAACATTGCTTGCTGTATGTATTTACTTCCAAAGATTATGTTCAGGATAATAGGGTCATTTTATTTGGAAAGGCAATATGTGTAATACCAGGTAAAAGATGTTTGACAACCAAGTATTTTAAAACCCATAACTCCTGTTTTTTTCTCTCTGTACCTTGAAAAAGAGTTGGCTGCCACCTAGTGCATGAAAGCAGTTCATGCTCTGTTGGTAGTTTAGTGTGATAGGTGTTGAAAGATTACCTCTATCTAATTGGACCCTCGAGCATACCACATTCCCAGGTATTTAAAAACGTGACTACTGGCAACGTTTATAAGGTTATTACGGCAGTGACGTTTTTAAGCACATGGAAAAAAAAAACAGTAAAAAAACAGCAGACTATTACATATTTAATTATTCAGTAGTCATTGTTAAATGCAAAAATACCCCTGCAAACAAGTAAATTATGGAGCTTTTTTTAAAAAGCGGAATAACAAAGACTGATCTGTGAACTTTGACTTTTAAACACTTTTGCTTATAGAGCCAACAGACAGACCAGGATGTGAAAGTAGACATGTCCTTAGGAGTATGACACTTCAGATAAAGAAAAAGTAATTTTGTACATTACTATCAAAATCAGTGGCTGTGAAGTCTACTTTTGCATACTAGGCTGTTGTGCTAATGGTAAACCAAATAATCTTAATTATAGGGTTGTAAGGTCCTTCTAAAGGTAAAAACACACAATTTGTAATGAAAAGAAGCAGCTTTAACATTATCTATCAGGTCCATTAGGCTGAATAGACGGGTACATGGTGTGTCGTGAGCAATAAAGTCAGGAAAAACACACATGCTTTAGAGCTCCATCCGCTTCATTTATTTAATCCTCAGGTCACATAATAGGTCTGGAGTAGTTATATCACAGTGAAGGGGAACATGTGAAGCTTTCCTTACCCAGAAATAGAAGGGGTCAGAGCAGGGCCACTGCTGCTGTAATACTCAAACCGCTTTCCTCCATTAAAAAACAAGTCAAGGACTGTCAGCTCAGGATAGAGCTTAGAAAAATGTGTACACAATACAAGTGAAGAATTCGTAAAGGTTGGATCACATACTGAATATGCTCACCCTAGACTGACTACATTAAAATCATCACAGGTGTCCAAAAAGTCAATATTTCACATTTTATACTTTTTAAAAACTATTTAAGCAAGGCAATAGCACAACAGGTGAATTTACATTTTTAATGATTATATGATAAGTTGGGGTAATTAATCTTACCCAATATTTTTTATCAACCAAACCAACATAGTTAAAAGAGCATGGTTCATACAAAAAGGGTATGAAAGACTCTATTACCTTTATCCTGCAATATAGGGAATGACTGCGTGGTTTGATGATCCCTTGATGTTAGTCTGAACTTCTCTGGTAGTTACTGACTTTTCACTTTCTCTTTTTATACCAGTTGCATCTATAGCGTGGGATTTAGCAGCTAAGCCAGGGATCAACTTCATGTCTGCTGGCTGTAAAGCAGCTCTTGATCTAATTACTTTTCTATCCACTTAATCGTTTCATGTTTTTAAAATTCATTTCAGACGCACCTCTTGCCAAGCTGCCGGTGTGTCAAGTTAACATCAATAAGAACAACTCGGAATTAATTTCTAAATTTTCTGCTCACAGATAGTCTCAATGTTAAAATGTTCCAGTTCCGGAAGCTTATATAGTTACATAGTAAACTAGGTTGAATAATACATGTCTAGCCTATTGCACACACCAGGCGTTTTGGTACAGGAAAAAGGCAAACAAATTGCGACCAGTTTTTCCTTACAAAGACAAAAGCATTCCTTACTGACCCCACAAATGCAAATAGATTATTTACTTGCATCAAAATATTTTAACCTTTTATAATTTTAACTGTATTAGTTACATAGTTACATGGTTAGTCTGGCTGACAAAAGACAAAAATCCATCCAGTTCAACCATTAAAAAAAAAAAAGTTATAACCCTTTACCCACTGTTGATCCAAAGAAAGGCAAAAAAACCCCAGCAAAGCACGATCCAGTTTGCTCCTGCAGGGAAAACAATTCCTTCCTGATCCCCTGAGAGGCAATTGAATATTCCCTGGATCAACTTTACCTAAAAATGTTAGTATCCAGTTATATTCTGTGTATCTAAGAAAGAATCCAGGCCTTTTTTAAAGAAATCCACTGAGCTGGCCAGAACCAACTCTTGAGGGAGTCTATTCCACATTTTCACAGCTCTCACTGTGAAGAAACCTTTCCGCATTTGAAGATTAAATTTATTTTCCTCCAGATGTAAAGAATGCCCCCTTGTCCTCTGTGATGACCTCAAGGTGAATAGCTCTACACCGAGTTCACTATATGAACCACTGATGTATTTTTACATGTTGATCATATCCCCCCTTAATCTCCTCTTCTCAAGAGAGAATAAATTCAGTTCCTCTA